CAGTAGCCGTTGGCGGCGTGCAGCTCGACGCCGTCGAAGCCCGCTTTGAGGGCGTTCTCCGCGGCCGAGCGGTAGTCCGCCACGATGCCCGGGATCTCGCTCGTCTCGAGCGCGCGCGGCGGCACGGGCTCCATGCGTCCTTCGCGCGTGACGATCTTCTTGCCGGCGCGCAGGACGCCGCCCGGCTGGGGCCGATGCGGCCCGTGTGGTCGTATCTTACCTATGGTATGTACCGCATCGCCGAAGTTATTGTTCGCACATTTATTAATACCATAAAGCGCACTAAACACTTGGTGGCAATTTGGCCGGACTTCCGAGACAACACTAGGAGGATTCTGGAAGCAAAACTCGGGCATTATTTTCAGGAAGAAATACTCTACTTTTGATACGTAGCCATGTATTTACCAAACTACGCACTGTACGGGACTAGACTTGATTGAAATTTGTGACTGGGTTTGGCGGTGCTTTCCAATACAAACATCAAGTATAAAGGATTTGTATTGACCCGGAAAAAAATCGATCGAGTTTTCTGGTACATGTTGCTGAACTGAGCAAGCCCAGCATCGCTATAGACGCCAATGAAGACACTAGTCAGCTGACAGCCTCAACTTACGAGTATAGACCTCTCCACACTACTCTTCTATACAAATTCAAGATAGTGCGTGTCTCCATTGAATCTTATCAACCGCGTCAGCTTAACCTTATTTGAGCAGCTTACTACAGTGAAGTGCGTCGATAAGGAACGGGCGACATTTTATATTCTACGACAAGACATGAATCCTCGCTTGTACCCATTGTGTGCCAATTGTACTGAATTAGTTATATGATTCTACCAATCATTCGGTCCCGTTTAACATTCCGCCAATCACAGTTCCGAAACCGAGCCTCAAGAGCGGCTGGATGGAGCGGCTCCCAAGTCGGGGGAAATGGAACCTAAAGGTCGCGAGAGGGAATCATGAGCATGAGGATCGCTGTGAGCGCGGGAATCGCGCCAGGTACATGTCTGCATGCCTCATTAACCAACTTTCGCTCTGCTGCTCACAACTCCCATGGTGACCGCCACTTCCAGACCGTTCCAGAGGTGGCTACGTCTGACCAAGCTTCAGTCGCTGCTAATCTGTCATCGCCGTCGTGATCTACCGGGTGCTACCTATGCTGAGTTGGCTGCGTGGGCTCAAGCCGAGACTCTGGTCGCGAAGTCCGACATGAACTACATATTGCAGTAAATCAGTGCATTTGCTGTCTGCATGTGACGAGTCAAACCTTTAATTATCAATATACCTTTTTCTTTCAATGTATATCAGGCGTTCCTTATCGACGCACTTTACTGTACCGGTAGGCGTTATTCGAGCTGT